TCTCAAATAAATAAAATCTTAAAAAAAAAATTTCGGAACAAGGCTAATATTCAATTCCAAATTTTGGCATTGTCATGGTAGAAAATATTCTGTGTCCCCAAATCTTCTGTTTCATTCCTGTGCCTGGCACATTTTGGTACACAACAAATATTCGTCATGTAAATGAATGGATCAATTCAAGCGGGCTGAACACAAAGCAATGAACCCCCAACCCCTCCTTGCCCAAACCTCCCAATGTTGCTCCCCAGAGGCAATCACATTTAGCTCATTGCTACCCTCCTCTTTCTATGCCACTAATTCTGGACATAATCAGTGTTAGATCTTGCATACTCACTTCCTGCCAATACAGTTAAGCGTTTATTAAACCACCTCAAATTTTCCCTACCTGTAATACCTAAGAAATTATACCACCATCATTAGCTTTTCCATTAGTTACCTTTGTGATACTAAATAATAATCTTAAAATGATGATTCTTTCAATTATAAGCAGTATTATAAGTTTCAATTACTTTGTCACATAAGAATATTGTATTCCATACCTTTCTCTTCTTCTCTTTCCATTATCATGATTAACATTTAAAATGTTTTGTAACCATAGTTAAGAGATTCTTGCTTCATCTACAGGTGAAGTGTAAATTTGAAAATCAGTAAACAACTCCTCTTTTTTTGTTTACTCCTGTTTTTTGTTACTCCAGTAAACAAAACAAAATCAGTAAACAACTCCTGCCCATGTGACTTGTATTCCATGACTATGCGATACCTGTTTTTTGTATTCTTTTAGTCATACACCCCCAGCCCTCTTGACTTCGAGTTGCCTTTTTACTTTTACTTGAATGGTCTGCCTTCATGGCATCATTAGAATAGTTTCTTCTGACATTTGCAGGATACTGTCACATCTAAGGACTCTCTTCTTTCCATGGGCAGTTCTCTTGCAGCCCTGAGGTCTCCTTTCAATTTGTATGGGGGGCTTTCAGGCCTGCTGCATGGTTGTCCTCCTGGGACTTGCCTTCATTGCTTTTCTGAGTTGGTCCTATTGTTCATACATTCAACCTGCTCCAATTTCTTGGATAATTCCCTTGTTTTGCCACCCCACATTCTTAAGTAACACCCTTAAAAAGAGTATTTGGGTGAGGAAGCTTTCTCAGTTCATATTTAACTTTCTTTTTCATTCTGCCCCCATATTTTATTGATAGTTTGGCTTGGTTTAGAGTTCCAAGTTCAAAATCATTTTCCCATGGAACTTTCAGGCTTACTCATCTCCTAATTTCCGGTCCTGTTGATGGGAAGCTAGCCTATTGCTGGCCTGATTCTCATTCCTTTATAGAGGACCTATATTTGCTCTCTGGAAGCTTTTAGAATCTTTTAATTCTTGCTATCCTTAAATTTTAACATACGCCTCCATGCAGACCTTTTCTCTTTCCTTCTTAGGACTCAGTAGGTCTTACACATTTGCAGACTCATGTCTCTCTTTAGTTTTGAATATTTTTTTCTTGTAAATTTCATCCAACCATCTTCTCTGCCCTTACTTTCCAGATCTTCTATTCTGATGTTGAAACCCTGATTAATTCTGAATGACTTATCTTTTTGGTCACACTGACTACCTCTCTCTATTCTCTACTTTTCTCCTTTTCTCTAATCTTGTAGTAATGCAGAGTGTATAAGTTGACCTTACAGGCAATGAGACAGACAAATGAGTTGTAATTCATATTTCCCCCTTCCATTTAGTTAAAGGCTTATCCAACAATGGCCCTGCTGGTTTACTGCTTGAGTGTTACCTATGATGCTATGTGTTTATCCCTACTACAAACCAAGATCTGTTCTCAGTGCTGTGGTATATAACCATGAACAGAAAAACTAAGTTCCTTTGTATATAGAGGGAGACAGACAATAAATAAATAAAGTATTGCAATGTCAGATACAGCTCTGGAATCAGCAGCTGTAGCCAAAACACCAAATTTGGCAGGCAGCATCTTGGCCATAGATAGGCAGCAGCTCCTCTTTGCCCTTTGGTTTACCCTTTCATTGTGACTTTGAGTATTTTTTCTCAGGTCCTACCTAAGTTCTTCAGTCTACCTATGATTCTGCAACATGTCAATACCCTGTAAGAAATTCCTTTTATTCTTAAGTTAGCTTGAGTGAATTCATGAGTTCTGTTCCTCGCAACAGAGCCTGACTGCTACAAAATTCGCAAAAATAAATTGTATTTTTAGCAAGCAGCCTCTTTGGTATTTTTCTCTCTGTCCTAAGTTCAAGCTGCAGTAATAAACTTCATCTTAAGTCTCTAGCACCAGCTTCTGTCCCCAGTTTTGTGTGTAGTCAAGAAAGCACTCACACTATGTCATCAATATAGAGAATTGAATTAGTTAAGAATTCCAAACTGACAGCTCAACAGAGGTATTCGCTGTACCGAAAATTATTGATAGGCTTGAGGATAAGAAATCTGAAAGGTATCTGAGCTTCCTGGAGCTTCAATAAAGGAGGAACTGTTTTTTTCTACAATGTTTTCTAGAACACTCTAAAACTGAGTATTATACTACCAAACTACTGCATGAGATGATCTTTTGATAGATTACCTAGTTTATGAAATGCAGTGGTTTACTTCGAATAGTGTACATTAAAATTTTTTGTTTGCTTCTAGAAAATGCAAAAACATACTGTCTTAGTGAGGTTGGGCTGCCATAATAAGATGCCACAGACTGAGTGGCTTAAACAACAGACATTTTCTCATAATTCTGGAGACTGTGAAGTCTGAAATCAAGGTGCCTGCCAATGTGGTTCCTGGTGAGAGCTCTTCCTGGCTTCCCACCCTCTCCTGGCAGAAAAAGAAAGCTGCTCTTCTTATAAAGTGCCAGCCCTTCTGGATTAGAGTCCCATACTTATGACCTCATATAACCTTAATTACCTCTTTACAGGCCCTATCTCCACATATAGTCACACTGGGGGTTAGCACTTCAACATATGAATTTGGCAAGGGGCACAGTTCAATCCATACTTTCTGAATTTCTGCTTTAGAAAATGTAAAAATACTTTACAGTATTATTATTGATAATAATGAAGACTAACATTTATTCAGTGATTAACATGAGCCAGACACTGTGATGAGTGCTTTATAAGTATTTTCTCATTTATTTTTTTATTTTTATTTTTTTAAAGATTTTATTTATTTGACAGAGAAAGACACAGCGAGAGAGAGAACACAAGCAGGGGGAGTGGGAGAGGGAGAAGCAGGCTTCCGCCAAGCAGGGAGCCCCATGCGGGACTCGATCCCAGGACTCTGGGATCATGACCCGAGCCGAAGGCAGACGCTCAACGACTGAGCCACCCAGGCGCCCCAAGTATTTTCTCATTTAATCCTTACAACCAAAGAAGTAAGTTCATAATAGATGAGGAATCAAAGCCCAGAGATGCTGAGTAACTTGTCCAAGATCACCTTAGCTGCACAGTGAAGTTTCCAACAGACAGTCCTTTGAGCCACTTGGTTATAATTAAATGTATGACATACGGCACATTATATACCAGTAAGAAGAGTTGTTCAGTAAGGATTCTACAACCAGGTAATGCTGGGAGTCCAGAAAGTACTGTGGAGTGGCAAGGCTTCTGGTGTGAGATAAGCGCACTAGTGTGGGGGCTGAAAGGTCCAGGGAGGTTCTACTAAGCAGGTGAGGGAGTATTGGATTACATGCTAATTTACCTTCTCACCAGCTGTAGCTGAGTCTGTTGCCCCACAACCTCACAATTTATATTATTTTTTATTATAAAACCTGAATTTTATATTTAAATAAGACCTCACCTACAATTCAAAATAAAAATACAAAATCTCCAGGACGCCTTTGGCTCAGGTCATGATCCCGGGGTCCTGGGATTGAGTCCCACATTAGGCTCTTTGCTCAGTACGGAGCCTGCCTCTCCCTCTGCCTGCCCCTCCCACCACTCGTGCCCTGTCTGACAAATAAATAAAATCTTAAAAAAAAATACAAAAACTCTAACTGTAAGAAAAATCCTCTATGTAGTCATTGTGGCCTGATTTAATCATAAACCATTATATAGTGTAAACCACAGTAGCCAAGTTCACAAGGTTTAAATACAAACCAGATTAAGCCTAAAATTTGATATGCTCACTTTACTATTTGATCTGAAATACTTCAAAAAAACTCAAAGTAAAAACAAAGCCATAAAGGAAAAATTACACAAAATACTTATAAACATTCTTACAGTTTTAAATATTTCAATTCTCTGGATTGGCATACATTTTAGGAATTTAGGTCCTTTAAAAGGATAATGTTATGCCTAGTAACAGAAAAGTAACTTCATGCTTCACTTTTCGAGACAACATTAAATGAAATGAACGTGTCAAATTGTCAATAAGACAAGGGAAAAAACAGAATTTTTTTATAACCCTGGAGGCAGGCTGAGTCCTACAATTTTCTGTTAAGCTTCACAGAATCTAAAATACCTGCTATGTGCAATTTCGTTCAATGACAACTTTCAGCAAAACTAGAGAACTTAAATAAAAAAACTATTTAAAAACAGAAACTATGTGTCTTACATTTTAACCGCAAAAATAATTGGGATTTTTTGGAAGTGGGGATAGGAAGACATCTACATCTAACAGCACATGCAATCAATCACTTCTAGGAGTTTTTCCCGCCTCTATTTTTTTGACAACATCGAATAGGGACACTCATTACTCGGTACTTTTCTAACTTTTCTTGAATCCCGTTCACCTGGAGGGACTTAGAATAGGCGTTCCCGCCCTTTCCCCCGCCCGGAAACGGACTCAGGAAGTCTTGGGCGGGGCTAAGCACCTGTACTTTTTAGCCAGCAACGCCGGTGATTCTCACACTAGTGAATGTTTGCGAGCCACTTACTTAGGGAAGGGAGGCTCCCCCCCATTCAGGAAGCAGGACTTCCACAATCAGAACAGTTGGGGGTGGAGCCCGGGCACCTGTGGTTTGGTGTGTTTTCCCCCACCCCCCACCACGCCCCAGGCGATTGTGATGCAGGGTCGAAAGCGAGAAGCGCGCAGAAGCTCCCAGCGTCTGCGCCCAGCCCAGCGCGAGAAAAGGCGCTAAGGTGGGTTTCTTGGGTGGGACTCTCGGCCTTTCCCTGGCCTCCTCGGTGGGAGTCCCGCGCGGACGGACTGGGGTGACGCCGCGTTGCTCCCCGGTCGCGGAGGCCGCGGTGTACGCAGGGGTCCCCCCCGAGCCGTTCCGCTACAGCTTTCTCTTCCTCTCATCATCCGGTCCTCTCGACGCGCATCCGCCCAGCCCTGCTAGCCCCCCAGGCCGTGAGTGCACGCGGAGGGGCCGCGGGGCGCAGGCCGAGGCCCGGGTCCCCGGTTGCCGCCGCAGCGGTCCGGTTGGCGCGAGGACCTCGGCCCCTGGCCCGCGCAGCCGCCGCTCCGTTAGGCCCGGCCCCTCGCCCCGGCCGCGTCTCCACCAATCGCCGGCCTCGCCCGCCGCCGCACCTGCGAGGAGGAGCCCGCGCGTCTCCGCCGCAGCCGTCGCAGCGTCCCCGCCCCGTTCCGCCCCCATCGCGGCGCCCCCAGATCATCCGCCGCCGGCGTCTGGCTCCCCGCAAGCGAGGAGCGGAAGCCGCTTTTTCTGAGGCGGAGTTCGGGGCGCCGGAGCCCGGCCCGCTGCTGAACCGCAGCTTCCGGGCAGCCGCAGTAACGGCGACGCGCGGAGCGCTGGCGCCCCGCGGACCCCGCGACCCCGGGCGAGTGGGCGGGCGCCCCGAACGGGCAGCCCAGCCGGGGCAGGCGGCGGCGGCGGCGGCGGCGGCGGCCGTGGCGGTCGCGCTCAGGCGCCCCGTGCGCCGCACTCCATGCCGGTGTGGTGCTGCAGCTGCTCCCTGGCCGGTCATTTCAGGTGACTTCTCAGCCGGGGAGCGGAGGGGATGGGAGCAGGCGGAGGGTGGAGCGCTTCCCGGCCCCGTGGTGGGGCCGAGATGGGCAGAGGCCGGGCGGGGTCGGGGTCAGGACCGGTCTGGAGTCGGGACGGGTCCGGGGTGGGGGGCGAGCGCCGGGACTGCAGCGGCCTCCCGCCTCGGCCGCCGCTTCCTCCTGGTTCCTGCCTCATCAGGGTTCCCGCCTCGGCAGCCTCTGCTTGGGGGCACCTCGCTCCGGGGGGGTGGGGAGGACTCTCCTCTCTTGTCCTCTTATCCTCTCCGGGACCGGGCCAGTCACGGGACTTCGAAACCGGCTAGACCCGGAGCGAGTCGGTTACTGCGACCTGAGACTTCCGAGTAGCGCAAAGTTTGAAGAGTTGCGAAGGTTCCTTCCTACCCCACCTTTACAGTCTATAGATTTTTTAAATAAACGTAATAATCTAATTTATTGGGTTGAAAGGAGGTAGGAAACTTTTAAGTCTGATGGTCTAGTTAAAAGTAGGTGCTAACTTTGTTCTACGATGCTTGTCATTGCAAGCTGTATATTATAGAAATTTGAAATAGGTGGCCATTCAAGACTCACATTATGGGAACGTTCTTAAGGGTGATGAGGTTAATGCATTTGAGAATAAAAGTATGTGTTCTCTTGCACGGTTGGCAGACATTTAACTCAGTTACGGGGAGAAAGGCTAAAGGCACTTGGAAGTGATTTTAACCCTGTGGTGAATAAATGTTCAGTTTATCGAAGACTTAAGTAAATTACCTTACTTCGCATATATGAATGTGCTAGAATAATGATGTATAAATTTTTCTCAAAATATAAAACTCTGATCAAGAATTTTAAAATTGGAGTTCGTAGGTAGAATTTAAGTGGCCATGAACTTGCGTGGGAAGAAAGGTACAACTGGTACTTTTGCTAAACTTTAACCAAAATCTAATATGTCTTTCAATTATGAATATAAGCAACAAGTCACATAGTACTTATGAACTTATCATCAATAAAATTACAAATATATCAGTTGCACATACCTAGAAATACTGTATGCTTATTTTTTCAAAATTACAGTAATTACACATCACCAAACTTGTTATTTTTTTGTGCAAATAAACATGTCACAAGTTTACTTTTTATAACTGTATTTTAATGTAATTGGTTTCCTTGTAAATCCTATGTATCTCTTATGTATTTAATAATAATACTCAACGAAGAGGTTCAGAGGTTTCACCAAATTGCCGAGGAGTGTAAGGCACCAAGAAGGTTCAGAACTCCTGTTTTAATAGAGAGCAACAGTTCGGGCTTACCCAACTTCTCAGTGAGTTTTGTAGGGGTTTCTAAATTCTAGATATTAAAAAAAAAATGTTTGATGTAATTGCTGGATTTTTAAGTTTTAGGCAACTTTGTTGACTACTTGACAGACATTGGTTTGAGAGTATCAGATCCACTTTGGAGAGTTTGGGTGAAAACAGGTTCCTCTAGTGAAAACTTGTTAAACTGAAGCCCCTTGAGAAATTAACATGCCTTTCAGACACTGCTGTCTAAAATTTAGCCTTTTGACTGCACGGCTGTGAATTGATTGCTTTTGGTATAGTTGAACTCTAAGGACACAGGTTGGGATTCATATCCATTCAGCTAACCCTCGGTTGTGGATACCATATGCCTATTACCACTTTGTACAGAAATTTGGAGGAGATGAAGACAAAAGTAGTTGGTATGTTTTGATCTTGAGGGATAAAGGAAAACAAGCCTTGCTAGCCAAAAGAAAAAAATTGTGATTAATAAACCTTATTTCCATTGTAAAAATAACTACATTGTACCTCAGATTTAAAAACTAAAACATTTAACACCTCTTCTTTAGGAAGGTGTCTGTAATTTACTCATGCTATTTTTTTGAGCAATTTTATTAGGAACCCACATTTTAAAACAGGTTGTGACAAACCTGTATGTTTTGGATCTTGTGCCATACCTGAAAGGAATAGGTATTGTGATAACTGTCCAATGACTTTCCAGCTGCTTGTTCCATACCTACTGTGTTGGAAGATGAACAGTGTGACTGACTTCATTTGTGACTTTAGAACCTTTTTTTCATATAGTAGTATTAAATTGGTGACAATTTAGGATCATACTTCCAAAGACTATAAAAATTCAGATACTAAAGCATTTCATTTGAGTTTGAGTCATCATTTAAAGAAGTATTGCTAGATGTGAGAAAAGTCTTTTTGTTACCCAAATTTTATGCCTGTGCCATCCTCTTAAGTTTGTTTCGAGACTGGACTATAATATTTCAAGAACAAAAGATGGAAGTGCTCTAAAATCCTGTCAAATATCAAATAGTCTTTATGCCTAATAGGGCAACTATTTTTGCCTGTGTGTAAAGTGCTGTTTATTTCCTAAAATGTAATTATATGTTTTCTTAGTATCCCAAATAAAGGAAAAGTAGATTTTTTATTACTCACAATACTTGTTTTAAACATAACATTGATCAGGTTGGATATCTCAAGTAAAAGTTGAAACTGTTCATAGACCTGTGATATATTATGAATATATTATAAAACGTGCAGTAATAATGAATTATAACTTAGGCTCTGAATTTTTTAGAAAGAATACTTATCAGGCCTTTGTTTCATTGTTGCTTTATGCAGAATCAGTGAACCATACTTTTGTTTTTTGTTTGCTTCTCTTGATTCAGTTTTTCATCTGTGTTAATTTGTATTAAATTTTCCAAATACCAGGCAAGTTTATTACAAATAGTTTATACCAGAATTATAGGTCATATACAATTATATACATACCAATATTATTATAGATTATATACATATTGTATATGTACAGATTATACCAATGACCAGTAGAAAATCAGATCTAATTACTTACACTATATAGAGAATTTAGATAAGCTAAAACTTTGGCTCTACTTAATGTTCTGGAGTCTTGGAACAGACTAGACTTAAATTGTTGGGGGCCCACACACAAAACCTACTAGACCTAATAAATGAATTAAGCAACATTGGAGAATATAAGGTCAACATACAAAAATCAGTCCTATTTCTACACACTAACAGTGAACAGTCTGACAATGAAATGAACAAAATTCCATTTACACTAGCATCAAAAAGAAAGACTTATTCCTAAGTCTTAAGGCTTGTACACCGAAAACTACAAAACATCATTGAGAAGAACTAAAGAAGGCCTAAGTAAAAGGAATCCCATGTTTATGGATTGAAAAGCTTAGTATTCTTAATTAAGATGGCAATATTTTTCAAATTGATCTATAAATTTAGTGCAGTCTTATCAAAATCCTAGCACCCTTTTTTTGCAGAAATGACAAGATCCTAAAATTCATACGGAATTGCAAGGAACCCAGAATAGCCAAGACAATTTGAAAAAGAACAAAGTTGGAGAATTCCCACTTCCTAATTTCAGACTTTACTACAAAGAAACAATAAGCAAGACACTGTGGCGCGTGCATAAAGATTAATCAGTGGAATAGAATTGAGAGTTCAGAAATAAATCCTTAAATTTATGGTCAGTTGGTTTTTCCATGGGATCACGAGACAAAGGGGAGATCACAGTCTCTTCAACAGATGATTCCAGGACAAATGGATATCCACAAGCAAAAGAATGGAGTTGGACTCTTATCTCACACATCACATATAAAAATTAACTCAAAATGGATGACAGACTTAAATCTAAAAACTAGAACTATAAAACTTACAGGAAATAGTCTTGGTGATCTTAGATTAGGGAGTGGTTTCTTAGACACCAAAAGCACAGTAGCAAAAATAAAAAAATTGAAACTTTTGTGATTCAGAAGACAACAAAGGGAAAGCCCACAGAATGGGAGAAAATATTTGCAAATCATATATCTGAAAAGGAACTTGTGCTCTACATATATAATTTCTAAACCTCAATAAAAAAGCCCAGTTTGAAAGTGGCTGAAGAATATTTCTACAAAGAAGTTAATACAAATTGCTAAAAAGTGTATGAAAAGATGCTTAACATTATTAGTCATTAGGGAAATGCAAGTCAAAACTGCAGTGAGATGTAACTTCACACCAATGAGGGTAACTAAAAAAAAAAAAAAAAAAAAGTAAGTGTTGGTGAGGGTGTGGAAAAGTTGGAACCCTCCTATATTGCTGGTGGGAATGTAAAATGATGCAACCATTTTAGGAAACAGTTTTTCAGTTCCTTAAGATGTTAAACAGAGTTTATGACCCAGCCACTGCATGTACTCGTAAGAGATACGAAAACATTTATCCACACAAAATTTATACATGAATAGTCACAGCATTATTTGCGTAGCCAAAAAATGGGAACAACTCAAATGTTCATCAGTTTGTGAATGAACAAAATGTGTTCTCTCTCTACAGTGAGAAATTACTTAGGCATGAAAAGAAATGAAGTACCAATACCCCCTACACTGTGGGTGAAGCTTGAAAACATGCTCAGTGGAAGAAGCCAGACACAAAAGGCCACATAATGTGTGAGAGGTTCCATTTATATGCAATTTCCAGAAGAGGCAAATCCAACAACACCCAATGAGTGGTCACCAGTAGCTGGAGGGAAGGAAGAATGGGGAATGAGTTTTAATGGGTACTGTAGTTTAGTAGTAACTAGTTTGCTACTGTTAACTTAGTTTATCACTTTTAGGGTGATAAAATTTTTCTGGAATTAGTAGTGGTGATTGCAAAACCTTGTGATTATACTAACAACCCTGAATCGCACACTTGAAAAGGAGAACATGTTTGTTAAGGTTTGAAGGAAACATCTCTTTGATTAACAAAGTTAGTGATGATCTTTTTTTAAAAAAATTTTTTTATTTTATTTCCCGGGTTATATATATGGGAGCAACAGTGTTTGAGGTGGGGGTATCTGGAAGATGAGGTGTGCATCGTCTGAAAAAGAATTGCCTTTACAGCCACCACAATATCAATCAGGCCTGGGTATGCAAAAGGACTTTGATCAGAAGCATCCAGAGGGAGCTGGGGGACCTGTCCTCGGCACACATTCAGGAGAGATACCAGAAGTAGGCCTGAGTATAATACACTCATTTGAGTGCAGTTGCGCCGAAGCAGGCTGGGTAACTAGTATACCTGAATCTGCTCAGAGAAGTAGTTGGGATGATCTGAAAGGGATGCATTGAGCTGAGCATAAGATACTTCTTCCGGGAGCAGGCTTCAGTGTAAGGAGGGGCTTTCCCTAATAGACCTATCCAAAGGGTATCTATTCTGGTCCCAAAAGGCTATGTATCATTAGAGGAGTCCAAATATTTGGGGTGGAGTTTATACCTTCTTCAGGAAAGCTGTTAGCATATCCTGGAGAACTCTATCCCACGGTAGACTGGGACCTTCGGAGGCTATTAGGGAAGCAGAAATTTTGGTCTCTGCCTAATTCTTTCTGTTTATCATTCTCCGGGATCTGTGAGTCCTGTGAAATAACTGATCCATCTCATTTTCATTTTGGGAGGAGTAGTAAGCACATTCACCCATAGTTGGTGCTCAGTTTAATATTTCCAGATATTTGCCTGCTGCTGACTATATAAAGATGAAAAATAATTTGGGGATTCTGTTCTGAAGTAATCACTAGTGTAATGCAGAACATTAACTGTGTTCGGAGGCTACTCCATTTATTTCCTGAGCATGTCAGAATGCTAAAACTAGTTTCTAGGGAGGCAACTGGGAAAGAAGGTAGATTGGAAATCAACATAAAGATGTTTCCAGTTTTCAGTATCTGAGAATTAAGATGTATAAACCTCATTTCTTTTACCAAAATATGGAGTTTGTAATACGTAAGTACAATTAACTTTTCCTTAGTATTATGACTATTTTGTTCCAAATATGCCACCTCTAGTGCACCTATCTTTTTATTAATGAGAAAAAAATAAGAAACTAGCCATTCCTAGGAAATCTCAGAGAATTCTAAAAATCCCCAATACAATGCTGTCTCTTTGGTCTTTAAAGATAGCTTCTTATTTAGAACTTGTGTGGGACTTGCCTACATGGTACTACAGAGACATTAACAGCTATTTAGGATTTCTGACATTAAAAATGGTACAGGTTGACAGGTAAGCTAAGCTACTAATTTGAAAGCATTAATCAGAAGAATTTCTTTTTCTCCTTTTATGGAACTATTGCATATTTTATGGCCTAAATAAAATCTGAATAAAGACAGGTTTTTATAAAGGCACATATATAAACTACATCTCTTGTTTTTTGTTTCATTTTTTTTTTTTTGAAGAAACTATAGTGACACTGAAACCGAAGGAGAGATTTTTAATTCCTTAGTGCAATATTTTGGTGATAATTTGGGGCAGAAAGTTAAAGCTATGCCATTAGTTGAAGAAACTTCTTTACTGGAAGATTCATCAGTGACTTTGCCTGTGGTAGTAATAGGTAAGTACTGCATTTTACTCTTAAAATTACAATTCTGATCCTTACTACTACTATATATGCATAGTTACATGGCGCAAGGTCTTAGGATTGTATTGAGAAGTAGTCTTAGGTTTTTTGATATGATTAAGTAACCAGTAACCAAGTCTTGGGAGAGAGTAATTGGTTTATCTGATACTAGATTCTGTGTTAGAATGTAACATTTTTTTCATTGAAGGATTGATACTACCCTATTGTGTTAAAATACTGTCAATGAATTGTGTTAATTATTATGATAGTGTCATGGCAATGATTATAACCAGGATTAGTAGAGCCCCATACAGAGCATTCTGTGTACATAATTGGATTATGCCTTAGAACCCTAGAGTCCTCTGTTGTGGGGTGGATACAGTCAGGGCAACTCAGAAGTTGAGTAACTTGTGCAAGCTAGTAAAGGTTCTCAGTAATGACTGTTAGGGTCCTCTGCTGTGGTGTGTACTGTAATGACCTTAACCACAGTATTATCATTATAGATCCTTTGTACCAGCTCAACAGATAGGCATAGAAGATATTAAAAGTTAAGCTATTAGTGCAACCTAATTACTTCAGAATTGTAGATATTTTTATGATTTTGCTTATTGCATGTTTTTAACTACCTGTCACATCTTGCATCTAATATTCAAACGTACTACAAGATAAGTGCTGTGGTGTGAAGCAATCTGCAGGAAGGAATTACAGGGCATAACATACCTTGATGACATATAGCTTCCTTAGCTTCTCTGAAAGCTTTTCTTTCTTTCTTTTTTTTTTTTTTTTTTAAGATTTATTTATCAGAGAGAGAGAGCACATGTGCCCGTGTGAGGTGGGGGAGGGGCAGGGAGAGGGAGAAAGATCTCCAGCAACTGTGGTTCCTTTAGTCTGGGAACACTGACCCACTGAGCATGGAGCTTAATGTGGGGCTTGATCCCACGACCTGAGATCTCAGGACCTGAGCCAAAATCAAGAGTTGAACGTTTAACCGACTGAGACATCCAGGGGCCCCTGATAGCCTCTTTCAAAGTTAACAGGAAGGAGAGAAAAGTCCTGTCCTCTGACTGGCATATGGGGGGATACAGTAAAGGGAGGAAGGGAGGGAGGGAGGGAGGGAAGACCATTCTATCCTAGATTTCTTTTCAGGGGTGATGCTAGAGATGATGGTGTTTGGAGTAGCTCACATCCAGGGTATCTTGGCGACTATACCTCATGTTCCATTTTCTCACTTCTGTCCAACACTGGTTTTTCATCCTGAGTGTGTTGGCATGAGTAAAGGAACCCTCTTCTTGTTCTCGCTGGCTGTGGGCAGGTCAGAAAAGAAAAAAGTACCATCATCTGTACCTGCCCACCTCACTCCCTCCAAAACAATCTGTTTGTGTTTTGCTTCAGCTAGCCAATGAGTAGCTTAACCTAATGCACATTGGACTGACAGTAGCACTCCATCAGAGCACAGAGAAGGAACTATTTTCCTTAATATGTGTGTTTTCTGTTGCTGTCATAACAAATTTCCACAAACATAGTGGCTTTAAACTATGTAAATTTATTATTTCACTGTTTTATAGGTCAGAAGTCCAACACTAGTCTCTGTAGGCTAAAGTCAGGATGTCAGCAAGATTGCATTCCTTTCTGGGGTGTCTAGGGCAGAACATTTGTTTCCTTGCCTTTTCCAGTTTCTATAGGTTATTCTCATTTCTTGACTCCTGGACCCCTTCTCCATTTTCATGATCTGCAGTGTGGGTTCTCTCTTAACCTTCTTTCATTGTCCCCTTTCCCCCTCACCAAAGCTGGGAAAGAGTCTCTCTTTTTAGGACTGGTATAATTAGGTGATGTCTACCTTTACGATCCAGGGTATTCTCCCGATCTCATGGTCCTTAATTTAATCACATGTACAAAGTTACCTTTTGTTATATAAAGTAACACTCTCAGGTTCTTGGGGTTAGGATGGGGACTGTCTTTGGGAGTAAGGAGCAGTCCACCTATGTATTTCTCTGTAAACTGCCTGTTTGTATTTTTTGCCTATGTCTGTTGAGTGTTGTTTCTTTTTGATTTAAGGAACTTAGCTCTTTGCCTCAGATCCTAAGTCTCACTATTTTGCATTTATTTAATGTTTATTTTAATTAATAGATTTTTTTAGAGCAGTTTAGGTCTACATGAAAATCGAGTAGAAAGTACAGAGAGTTCTCGTATACTCCCGTTCTCCTGCCACCTCCAGTTTCCCCTATTATTAGTATCTTGCATTGGTGTGCTGCCTTTGTTATAATTGATGAACCTCTGATTATACATTATATTTAGCTAAAATCTGTAGTTTGCATTAGGGTTCACTTTTGTGTGTTGTATAGTTCTTTGGGTTTTGCTGAATGTATAAATCATGTATCCCCAATTACGGTATCCTACCGAGTAGTCTCACTGCCCTCAAAATCTTCTTTGCTCCATGTATTTACCCTGTCCCTCAACCCCCAACCCCTGGCAACCACTGACTTTTTACTGTCTGTGTAATTCTGATTTATTTAGAATATCATATTCATGGAATTATACAGTATGGAACCTTTTCATACTGGCTTCTTTCACTTAACAGTATGCCTTAAAGATTCGTCTAAGTCTTTTCATGGCTTGATAGCTCATTTCTTTTTTATCACTGAATACTATTGCATTGTATGGATGTTTGAGTTTGTTTATGCACTGATTGAAGGACATCTTGGTTGCTGACAATTTTTGACAATTATGAGTAAAGCTGCTATAAACATGCATGTGTAGGTTTTGCACAGCCATTGAGTTTTCAGCTCATTTGGGTAAATACCTAGGAGTGTGATTGTCGGATCATATCATAAGACTATGTTTAGCTTTTTAAGAAACTGTCAAACTGTCTTCCAAAGTGGCTGTATCATTTTGCATTCCCAGCAACTGTGAATGAGAGTTCCTGTTTCTCTAAATCTTTGTCAGCATTTGGTATTGTGTTTTAGATTTTAGCCATTTAATAGGTGTGTAGTGGTACCTCATTGTTTTAGTTTGCAGCGCTGTAATCATACATGATGAACATCTTGTCATATGCTTATTTGTTAATCTGTGTATCTTTGAAATGCCTGTGCATCTCCTTTCTGTACTTTTTAATTGATTAGGTTATTTTCTTATGATTGAGATTCAAGAGTTCTTTGTATATGTTAGGTTTTGCAAATATTTTCTCCCAGTGTGACATCTTTTCACTCCCTTAATAGTGTCTTTTGCAGAGCAGAAATTTTAAATTTTAATGAAGTTCTGTTTGTCAGTTTTTTTCTTCCATGGATGATCCTGTTTTTAGTGTTATATCTAAAAACTTACTATCAAACCCAAGGTCACCTAGATTTTTTCCCCTATTTTATCTTCTAGCAGTTATATAATTTTGTGCTTTGTATTTAGGTCTTTGATCTGTTTTGAGTTAATTTTTGTAAAAGATAAAAGGTTGGTATCTAGATTCATATTTTTGCGTGTGGATGTCCATTTGTTCCAGCACCATTTGTTGAAAAGACTCTCCTTTCTCCGTTGGATTGCCTTTGCCCCTTTGTCAAAGATCAGTTTGACTGTATCTGTGAGAATCTATCTCTGCTGTCTTCTGTTCCATTGATTTGTCTCCTCTTTAATAATTTCCACACTGTCTTTTTGATTGTAGTTTAATGGAAGACTTGAGTTTTGATGATGTTGGTCCTGACTTGCTGCTTCAGTATTGTGTTTGCTATTCTGGGTCTTTCGCCTTTCCATTCAAACTTTAGAATTAGTTGGTATCCACAAAGTAACTTGCTGGGATTTTTACCTGGATTACATTGAATCTGTAGATGAAGTTGAGAAGAGCTGACATCTTAACAATATCAAATCTTCTTATTCATGAGCATCTATTTAGATCATCTTTATCAGAGTTTTGTGGTTTTCCTTGTATGCATCTTATATATATAGTTAGCATCTTAAATATATATATAGTTGGATTCATACCCAGTATTGTACATTTAATTTCAAATGCCACCTGTTCATTGATGGTATATAGGAAAGAAATTGGCTTTTGCATATAACCTTGTATTGTGCAATCTTGATGTTAGTTCTAGGAGTTTTTTGGCCCATTCTTTGGGATTTTCTACATAGAAATCATGGCTTTTATGAACAAAGACAGTTTTATTTCTTTCTAAGTCTCTTATTTCCTTTTCTTATTGCATTAACTATGACTTTTATCATGGTTTGTGTTGAATAGGAATGATGGGAAGAGACATCCTTGTTCTTGATTTTGGAGGGAAAGCATCTAGTTTTTCACCATTAAGTATGATGTTAGTTGTAGGTTTACTGTAGAAATTTACCAACTTGAGGAAGTATCCGTCTGAGTTTACGGAGTTTTTTTTTTTTTTTATGAATAGTTGTTGGATTTTGTTAAAGGCTTTTTCTGTATCTTTTATCTGTATTGATATTATTATATGATATTTATTCTTTAGTTTTGTCTTTGTTTTTGATTCAAGGAAATTAACTCTGCCTCAGATCTTAACTTCCACTATTTCTCATTTGTTTTTAATTTTTATGAAGGCAAATGGTTTACTTTCCTTTCTGTCTTTTGAGTTTTGTGTCATGCTTAAAGGCTTCCCACTTCATTATTATAAGTAGAAGTAGCAATCTATTTTCCAATATTCTTGGATTTTACTTTTCATATTTACATCTTTGAGCTTCTTTTATTTGGGGCAAAATATTAGAGAATGGAACAGAATTTTCTTCCTGAGGCTAGCAGTTATCCCAGTTGGATTAAATTTTTGGTAGATGGAGATAATAGAGAAGTGAAAACCTAGACTAAAGGAAGTACAGAAGTGGAGCTGGTTCACCAGGGTTCAACAAAAAATCCAGTTTGGTTTTAGTTTAAGCATATAAAAATGTAGGAAGACACTATGAGGAGATGGGTCTGGAAAGATGATTGAGACCAGAACATGGTGAGCACTGGGTAATCAGAAGCAAGCAATTAAAGCTTTCCAAATGGAGGGGGTAGCATGATGAGGACCTTGTTTTATCAAAATTCATCTGCATGTAGAATGTGAAATGATTTTGGAATAGGTGTATCTTTAGGATGAACAAGAGACTTTTTGTCTTGGAGTGACACAGAGACGACTGAATGGATATAGTGACTAAATAGATTTAGAGTCAGAACCTGATTAATTTAGGATTTTGTTAGCACCAGACTCTGAGAGGGGATGGGATTTAAAGGAGAGAACTGAAGGAAGGAAGGAACTCAAGAGTATGCTTTTGGACACATTGTGGTTAGATTATTTAGTGGTTCAACGAGGTGGAGTGAAGGGGTGGCATATGGAAATGTGGGATGTATTTTTGGGCAAGAGGTCAGCCTACAGGTCTAATTTGGGGTCAGTAGCATAGAGACTTAACGCTTCAAGTAGATGAGACTACCAAAAGAAAACAGAGAAGACAAAAGTCAGTATCTTACGAATACTTGGTTTTAAGAGTTTAGGGAAGGAAGACAAATTGGTAAGGGAGAAAAGGCATCTTTGAGAAAAGCCAAGGAATAAGAATGTTAAGACAGATGATGTACCTCTCCACCTTTTTTTTTTTTCTAAATAGGAAATGGACCCTCAGGAATCTGCCTTTCTTATATGTTATCAGGCTACAGACCATATTTATCATCAGAAGCAATACATCCAAATACAATCTTACATAGTAAATTAGAAGAAGCAAGACATCTTTCCATTGTTGATCAGGTATTTCTTACATGTCAATTTTTTTTTTTTATACTCAAATTTCCCAAATTATTTCCTGGCGGGAGTTCTAATAGGTGCTCTATGTTCAAATAAGTTTGGGAAGTGCTGCTTTTTGTTATTGGAATGTTACAGTAGACATATTAAGGCATATTAATGTATTTTAAATGCATCTTCAAGAGTTGCAGTAAAAGGATCTGATTAGTTTTGTTGAAATCCAGTCTTTTCCTATATTCATTTGACCAAAGAATCTGTTAAGGTCTCAGGGAACATCAGTGTTTTATAGTAACACCACCAAGGAAATGCTGGATTAGAGTGATGGCTTTCACTGTTGTACGAGCTGAGGTTTTGTTTTGTTTTGTTTTGTTTCCTTCAAACTCTACCTTTTTTCTTTCTTTTTTTGAAAAATTTATTCAGGACTTAGAATACTTGTCTGAGGGCCTTGAGGGCCGATCATCCAATCCAGTTGCAGTACTTTTTGACACACTTCTTCATCCAGATGCTGACTTTGGTTATGATTATCCATCCGTTTTGCATTGGAAATTAGAACAACATCATTACATCCCTCACTTAGTTCTTGGTAAAGGTCCACCTGGTGGAGCTTGGCATGTGAGTATGTTTTTCTTCGCGTTTTATAGTGTATGTAAGTTGTTATATGTCATCTTGATAAGACCATTTGAATTTTGAAACATTATGATATACAACATTATACATTATATACATTTACCGCATTTTTATCTGAGAATTTTAATGGTGTTCAATAAAATATGGGTTACGAGAAGTTAAGCCAAATTTGATTACCAGTATAGTCTTAGAACTAAGCTTCTCTATACTATTTTACAATAACTATATAGAAAATATTTCAGCATTGTTTTGCATAGTAAAAAGTTTTAAATTCATTTCAGACTTTATAAAATCTCACACAGTATTTCAGGCCAATACCCATTATTTCCCTATGTTTTCAATATCTTAAGTGAAAAGTGGATTGTAAAAGAAAGAAGTTGTATTAATCTGCTTGGGCTGCTATAATGAAATAACATAGACTGAGTGCCTTAAACAACAGATATTTATTTCATAGTGTGGAGCTGGGAAGTTCAAGAGCAAGGTGCCTGCTTGTTTAGTTCGTGTGAGGGCTCTTTTCCTGGTTTGCAGACAGCGCCTTTCTTGGTGCATGCTCCTTCCTCCCCTCTGCCCCTCTTCTAATAAAGCCACTAATCCTATCATGAGGGCACTATCCTCATAACCTCCTGTAGCCCTGGTTACCTCCTAAAGGCCTCATCTCCAAATACCGTGACACTGGGGGTTAGGGCTTCAGCATATGGATTTTGGGGGTGACACAAATTGAGTTCATGGCAGGGGTTAAACCAGAGAATTGATTAACATAAAAATTCAGTGCATTTCCTTAGGAGTCAGGAACTAATCATTTTTCTTTTCTCCTGTGTCCTTAGCTGTTAGTATGGCATCTGGTATGTAGTGAATGCTCATTTGTTATACAAATAAATGGTAAATAATTTTTGCTATTTTATGAATAAGGATTTCATCAAAATTTTAACATTAAATATCAGATCTTCATTACAGACTTCAGTTGAATATTCCTATATTAGTGCAATGCTGTATGTCTAAATAGTTATTTACATTTAATAAGTGACTGTTTCAGGGTATTTGGGGGACTTTCTAGATTAAATATATCACCAACTTCTTAATGTTAAGTTCCTTAATGGTAACAGATAGCAACTAACATTATCTGTGCCTTTTGGCCTAAGTGTTTATATTTGTGCTGTTAATGAGTAGCATTGTTAAACGGTAGTTCCTGAAAAAGCCATAATGCATAATGCTTCTCTAAATTCCTGAGGTTTTATTGTACTTGTATTTTCCAGCTTAGAAAAATGTACAGACAATAATCTACTAATATCATTTTTTCCTCTTATATAGAAAAGTTAAAGCATGTGTAAGCCTTGATTACTAAAAACATTTGAATTAGTGGTAAAGCTAAAATATACTTAAAACTTGCTGAATTTTTTTCATGCATCATATAGGATATCCACTAGAATAGGGTTATAAATAAATGATATTTTAGCTATTATCCATCTTTCAAGCATCACTTCTATGAATTGACCTGACTTTTCCAGGCATAATTATTTATTCCCTCCCACCTCTGCATTCCATACCTTAATCTTAAAACTCTTGACTGTAGTACTATCTTTTTAGACAGCCCTCTCCCCTGCCGTACTTCACGTACCTGCTTGTTAACCTAAGTTATGACTCAGGATGTAAGCTCCCTAAGTCATTTGTCCTCTCGTAGTCATTTCTGTATAGTTCTTTGCTTCTCTTGTGTGATCCAGTTTCTCACCACTCTCCTCACTTCCAGACTCTCTAACAGTGTACCCCTAAAACTCCATTTGCTAATAAACAAGCTTTTGTTTACTCTTAACCATTTCAATTATTATATGCTGCTTTTACTCCCTTCCTTGAAATCTTGCTTTCCTGAAGATACTGTTCTCGCTGCAGCCCTCTGAAGTGGAGTCTGTTCACTCCCCATGGCCCCATGTCCTATCAGGTTGACTAGTGAGGTTGGGGTTCTCTTTCTTCTCCATCGCTCTTCTGTCAAAGTCCCCGTTCCTTTGAACAGGTCTTGTTATCTTCTAGCTCGACTGTGCCTGCTTGTCCCCCCTCAGTTGTTGAATCTGTGGCACCTAAGTCATGGTTTTCCATTGTATCTCAGGTTTTATTGTCAACTTGAGTACCTCTACGTATGTGACACAGAAGCAACCCCTTAACCTCTTAGTCTCTTCATTCTCAATGATCTCCTCATCTCCTCCTTAGATACTGACTCCAGGGCCACCACTGTGACTACTCAGTGAAAACCTGAATTTTCAAATATGTTACTTTATGATCACAACTTTTTATTCTTCCAGCTGCATCACCCAATTACACTGAACCTAATCTTCAAACACAGAGAGTTTGAGGCTCTGATCTTCACCTCCTTACCTACCCAGCTTGGGTTCTGTAGTCTCTTGACCCATTGTCCTTCTATCACATGGGCTTGGTAAAAAAAGCAATTTATATAACTGTCTACGTTATCTTTTCCCATACTTAAGCTGTTAAACATTGCCAGGAAAAAAAAAGTTGGACAGCTGTGAAAAGTATTCTGCAACCTCATTTGGGTCCTGAACACTACTTAGTAATCCTTTGATATTTCCTTATTAAATATTCTTCTCAAATCTCAATCCCTTTTTTTTCACCTTCCTACTTAGAAATACTCTTTGATTCTTAGAAAATAGAATCCATCAGGATTGAACTTCCATAATTTTGTGCTCAAACCTGCAAATGTATCTGCATTCATGCTACCTTTTTGTTTCTTATCCCCTGTTATTGTAGAAGTGGTGTCCCTTCTATCTAAGACTAACCTTCCAGCTATGTTCTGGACCCTTGTGTTCTCCAAGGATATTGCTTATTTGATTTTCCCCTTCTTGTATCTTAAGTTTCTCTGGCAGCTCCTATTTATCAGTATATAAATACACTAAAATTATTTTCTATTATTAAAGTTTTTCTGTTAGCTTATCTGTATTCTTTTCTTTAGAGCCACCTTCTTGAAATAGTTATCCATTATTTATTTTTTAAGATTTTATTTATTTATTTGAGAGAGAGAGACAGAGATAGCAACAGAGAGCATGAGCTGATAGCATGAGCCAGGGAGGAGAGGGAGAAGCAGGCTCACCACCAAGCAGGGAGCCCAACTTGGGGCTTGATCCCAGGACCCTGGGATCATGACCTGAGCCGAAGGCAGACGCTTAACTGACTGAGCCACCCAGGCGCCCCACCTATCCATTATTTTTTGCCTTCGCCTCCTATTCCTTAGCCAACTTCACTCTAGCTTCTGTCACTGCCTTTTCTGCTTTTTAAAGGTTGGTAACTTCCTTTTTTGCTCAGTTTGATAGTCTCAGAATTTTTCTTTCCTGACCTCTGCAACATTTGACAACGATGATACCCCTCTTAGATTCTCTGAACCTTTCATCTCCTTGTTTTTCTTATAGTCACTCCTCTTCATTACCTTGTGGACTCTTCTGTAAGCTCTCTGCCAAGCCATGGTCTGGCCTTCATTCTCCCTGGCTTGTCTCATATACTTCAGTGACTTGCATGTGACTGCTGAGTGATTCCCAAATTAGGACCCTGGCCCACATTGCTTTCTCTTACAGATTCACCTAGATACCTTCCCTTGATTATTCTATAGGTGTTCTCAAACTCAGCATGCCTACATAACCAATCATCTTTATCATCAGATTTCTTCCTTTCCTTATCATGGAGTAATAGCCCTGGAATGTTGTTACTCAAGCCAAAAACCTTCCTTGATTGTTCTTGCCTCAACTCCCATTTCAAACCAGTTAATTGTATTTTCTCCATTCTTTCTCATAAACATATTGTGAGTCCTTCCACCCTACTTTTCCCCATCGTAATTGTGTTTGGCCATCATCATCTTTGACCCAAATTATTGCAAAGGTTTCCTACTCCAGTCTTTTCTTCTTCATACCAAAGCCAGAGTTATCTTTCTTTTGAATGTTAACACCCATGCATAAAACCCTGTAGCTGCTCTTAATTCATCTAATGAATAGTATGCAAACTCATCAATGTATTTTACCAATACCTGGGTGATCTAGCCCCCATTTGACTTTCTTGCTTTACTGCTCTCTTACATTCCATGCTCCAGAATACTCTTTCTGGGAATCCAGGTTCACACTCAGGCTGTAGATTCACTAGGATTCACAGGACTCCTTAAAGGTGTTGTACTCATGGTTATAGTTTATTACAGTGAAAGGATACAGATTAGAATCATTAAAGGGAAAAAGTTCATGGAATAAAGTCCAGGAGAAAACAAGCTCCAGTTTCTAAATGTTCATTTTTAGTGGAGTTGCAGGGGGCTGCACTTAATTCTCCCAACAATGATTTGTGACAACATGTTCAAAGAGTTGCCAATCAGGGATGCTCACCCACACGTTGGTGTCCAGGATCTTCTGGGGGCCAGTCGTGTAGAAAAGCAGCACCCATGTGACTGACGACTCTGCCTCCCAGAGCAAACGCTAGTGTTTACCATAAATCTCATTGTTAAGATAAACTTACAGTCACACTGTACAGTTACAGGTACAGCAGGGCCCAAGGCCTCTGGCATACAAAAAGTCACTCATCAGGTAGAATATTCCAAGAGCTCAGGGGTTGTTTCCTAGGAAGCAGCCAAAAGCCAGGTCCTAAAGACAGACCTTTCTTAGTAATGTGCACAGTTTAAGCAACCCAAGTCTGTTAATACTTTCTTGCATAAGGCTGAACTTCTTTTAATTTCTTGAAGGACACTGCTGTTCTTTCTCTTTATAAAACTCACATAACATCTTTATTCTGCCTGGAATATTCTCCCTAATGGTACACTCCCCACAGCCCATTTGTGTCCTTTAAGAAATATTCTTCTCTTTCTGTATGCCCCTGGTACTTCTGTCAGGTTTGTGTTCCTTAATATACTATAGTCTCCCTGGCAGCAGGAATGCATGGCATAAGGAAAACAAGGAAGACTGGGAGAAAGATGAGGAGATCAAGGGACTAGGGCTCGCAAGTAACTGGAAGAGCTGGTGCTGTGGGAATAAAGTGTAGATTGTAGAAAGTGGAATATTTGTGCCTTAAGGTTTTTGAGTTTCAGATGAGACAATTACAGCTCCAGATAACTTCTGTATATAATACATTTTTAAGTTTCCCTTGTGATGTTTTCCATCTTCTTGGTTCGTATCCTAGTATCAGGCCCAGTCTGCCCCAAAGCAGTGGCACCTTGCTGCCTTCTCTCCCAGGAGTGATCTACACACTGTCACAAATAATAGGCTTCTTAAGGCCCAGCACATAGTAAGTGCTTGGAAATGTTAGTCAATAATAATAACTATAACAATAAGTACCATTCCCAGTACTGGGTTGTATAGAAGCAGGGCAGGAAGACTTAAGAAACAGCCCTAGCCTAAAAGAGTTGGTTGAAAGAGATCATTGAGGTCACTGGGACAGGTGCTTTTGGCCCTCGGGCTTTTTGTTGCGTTGTAGTGAGCAAAGCAGAGAGGAGGAGGACAAGGGAGCCTGAAGGGCTCACGTCCTCAAAGGCAGCATTAGCTTCTTCAGCAGTGAGTCTGTTCTTAATCAGGTAACCACTGCTTCTTTCCCTAGTTTTAGAACGAGATGTTGCTGTATCCAAACCAGCTGACTTTGTAATTATAATTGATGGAGGGGGGAAAGCTGTTCTGCACATTTTTAAAAAAATCCGTTAATATTAAAATGGATTTACATCTAAAGTGTTAGAAATTAATGAACTTTTCTCCTTTTGTTTAAAAAGTGAAAATACTGATTTGATTTGTTCCTCTAACATTCTATACCTGGATTATATTATTATAGGCTTAAGCTATTAACATTGTATAGGCATCTGGCAATATTATAAACTTGTTTTATAATTGTATAACTTTATGAAAGAAGGAATATAGATCCTACAAAATGATAAAAGTATTTCTAATTTACACATCCATTTAGAACTTCTTTCAGCTCTCCTTATCCAGATTCTTAATTACAGTGAATGAAGATGGATTTGGTTTTTTAAAAAAAATCCATGTCACTGCTTAAATGTATTTGTGCATTTTTTATTCAAATAGAATATGGAAGGTTCCATGTTGACAATCAGCTTTGGAAATTGGATGGAGCTACCTGGACTTAAATTTAAAGATTGGGTATCTAGCAAACGAAGGTAAAGATCAAACTGTTACAGTTCTTTGATACACAATGAGAAAGTCCATCAGCAAATTTCAAAATATTTGTGACTCTGTCTTAGAGGAATAATATGTCTTTCAAATAAAACCTCTTTGTAGCAGTGATCATGAGCTAATTTCCATTTAGAGAGATGTTATAAGATAGATTGGGTTCCTTTGCTTTTGTTAATTATGGATTTATCCCACTTTCTGATTAAACCACTCTGTTTAGTTTCTCATCCACCCACAAATCCTTTCTATACTTACTTATTCTTATCAGTCGATATACAAGTTTGTGTATGGATATCTCATGTATATATACCTATAGTGTTTGACTTTCAGAGTAGAAGAGTGCATATGATTAATAATTTAGAATGATGGAATAAGCCAGAATCTATGATGTGATTGGTTACCCTATTGGCTACTATAGAGGTAAATATTTATTAAGAAATATGAAAATAGAAGAAAGAAGAAAGCTCTGCTTGGAAGAATATGAATTTATTTGGGGAAAAATACCTAAAATGTAAAGTAATATGAAAAGCCTTTTTTTTTTTTAAATTTTATTTATTTATTGGGAAAAGTTTTCAATTAGCAATAATCAGGCCTCGGATAAACCTCATTGGCTACGATACTGCCACTGCGCAAAGCTTAATTTTATTTATTTGACAGAGAGACCGTGAGAGGGGGAATACAAGCAGGGGGGGTGGGAGAGGGAGAAGCAGGCTTCCTGCTGAGGGTAGCCTGATGCGGGGCTTGATCCCAGGACTCGGGATCATGGCCTGAGCCGAAGGCAGATGCTTAACGACTGAGCCACCCAGGCACGCTGAAAAGCCTTATTTTCAAGAATAGTAGTATTAAATTAGATAGGAATCGCTAATACAGAGAATCTAATTTGCTCACAGAAACAATAAAGCAGGGAAGTTACTTGACCTTTGTTAGAACAGGGTTGCAACATTTGAGTGCTTGACTTCCTTTTAGACAAAAACCATATTACTCCATAGAAATTATCCTTAATTTGGGAGGATTTAAGGAGAACAAATTCAGGCCAGCATGAGTCATTGAGAATTAAACCTTTCAGATTTTTTTTTTTTTTTAAGTTTTATTTAAGTAATCCCACCACCCAGTGTGGGGCTTGAACTCATGACCCCGAGATCAAGAATCACGTGCTTTTCTGAATGAGCCAGCCAGGCCGCCCCCGTTTTGGATTTTTTTTTTTTTAATATTTTATTTATTTGACAGAGACACAGCGAGAGAGGGAACACAAGCAGGCGGAGTGGGAGAGGGAGAAGCAGGCTTCCTGCTGAGCAGGGAGCCCGATGCGGGGCTCGATCCTAGAACCCTGGGTCATGACCTGAGCCAAAGGCAGCCGCTTGACTGAGCCACCCAGGCGCCCCAATAACTTTCAGATTTTTTAAAAATGAATTTTATATGGGTTTGAAATGAAAAGTAGTAAAATCAGGCAAGTTGTACAAGTTCTTGATTTTCATAAGCAAGTGAAAAATTAACATTCTTCCTTTGGTGATATGGGTAAAAAAGGGGAAGCTTTATTTTTTTATGTGCTAGAAGTGTTCATCCTTTTACATTGGGCATATTGTATATTGAAGTAATATGTGAAAAAGAATCTTGTGATTAAATATTGGCTTCACTTCCTGCCTTTGCATAGTGTTGACTATTAGATCTTGAGAGACTGACTCTTGAATCCTGACTCTGACTTCTAATTTTGTGACCATGGTCAAGTAACTTAAACTAGTTGTTAATTTCCTCATTTATAAAATGGAGATGATGATAGTATTAACTGCTACATAGGGTTTCTGTAAAAAGTGAGAGTTAACATTTTAAATTTTAAGAAAAACTTTTAAGAATGTCCAGTTATAATTTGTAATGAATTATGTGAAATTATTAGGTATGTTTTTATTGCTACTTCTTTCTAATTGGGGCCCAGGGTTTAGGGGTATTAATGCCTATTGCTTTAAAGTTCAAGTGGAAAATGAAAGAAACTGCTCTTTATGAAAAAAGTACATTACTGTATTTATAGATTTCCTTATGAACAGGAAAACACAAATGTTTTATGTACTTAGATTAAGATGATTTTCTCCAGAAGATGCATCTGAATTTTCAGTCATTAGGAAACAACTCATGAAAAATCATGTCAAAATCATGTATATTAAGAAATATATATACTATAGACTTGCAGAATCTCAATTATAATCTAATTCAGTCTATTACAGTGTGTAGACTGAACAGTAGACTGAATAGTTGTGAGATAAGACTATAAAAGTGTATTTCCACATTTTAATTCATTTATTTAATACATTTCTTGATAAAGGTAGCTAATCTGAACAGATCCTGTGCAAGGCACTGGGGAAACAGATGCATTAAAATAGTTTCTACCCTCATAGGACTTCTATTGATAAAACTAATTCTTGAACATTTTTAACTAAATAAAAAAACTTGCTTTCTTTGTAAAAGGATAATTTATAGCTAAGACAGTCCAGAGGAATTAAAAAGATGTTTATAATAGCTTACTAGGAGGAGCAGGAATAATCATGGAAACTATCACAGTACTCTTCTCATAGGATATTTTTCCTTTTCCATTTTTAGGAACCTAAAAGGAGACAGAGTTATGCCAGAGGAAATAGCTCGCTACTATAAACATTATGTAAAAGTCATGGGTCTTCAGAAGAATTTCAGAGAGAATACTTACATCACCTCTGTATCAAGACTCTACAGAGATCAAGATGATGATGGACAAGACAGAAATATTTCAACCCAGCATTTACAGATAGAGAAGTCTAAATTTATCAAGAGAAATTGGGAAATCAGGGGTTATCAGCGAATAGCGGATGGTTCCCATGTTCCCTTCTGTCTCTTTGCTGAAAATGTAGCTCTGGCAACTGGAACATTGGATTCTCCTGCCCATCTGGAAATTGAAGGGGAAGATTTTCCTTTTGTGTTTCATTCAATGCCTGAATTTGGAGCTGCTATAACCAAAGGAAAGTTGCGTGGCAAAGTGGATCCAGTGTTAATTGTAGGTTCTGGGCTTACTGCAGCTGATGCAGTACTGTGTGCGTACAACAATAATATTCCTGTGATTCATGTGTTTCGCAGACGAGTAACTGATCCAAGCTTAATTTTCAAACAGCTTCCCAAAAAGCTTTATCCAGAATACCATAAAGTCTATCATATGATGTGTACTCAGTCATATTCTGTAGAGTCCAATCTTTTATCTGATTATACCAGTTTTCCTGAGCACCATGTGCTTTCCTTTAAGGCGGACATGAAATGCATTCTTCAAAGCCTCTCTGGATTGAAAAAAATATTTAAGCTCTCTGCAGCAGTAGTACTCATAGGTTCTCATCCCAATCTGTCTTTTCTGAAGGAACAAGGCTGTTACTTGGGCCATAACTCAAGCCAGCCAATCACATGTAAGAGTAATCCTGTGGAAATAGATGCATATACCTACGAATGTGTTAAAGAAGCCAACCTTTTTGCATTGGGTCCTTTGGTTGGAGACAATTTTGTTCGATTTTTAAAGGGAGGGGCATTGGGTGTGACACGCTGTTTAGCTACAAGACAGAAAAAAAAACATTTATTTGTTGAAAGAGGAGGAGATGGGATAGCTTAAAGCGAGTTTATAAGTAATTAATATGGGCAGTTAACCATTAAAGATTTTTCATAGTGGTTTTGCAGTGTACTGGCTTGAATTTTCTGGACTTGAATTAACTGTGGAAGAGAGCCTCAAGCTATAGTAACTATTTAAAGTTACAAGAACTTGGTGTTCTGATTTATATTGTATCAGAGGTGTCACTGTCAGACAAATAGAAACACTGCCAATTTGGTATACTTTAAGCTTTCACTTAACTAAAACATTCTTTTCTGCCAAGACTTACTTTTTGTGATCATTTGTGGCTACGTTTGATTCCAAAATCTTACAGCCTTGAATAATCTATAAAACCATATGGTATATTAGGCCAGAAACCATCTTCGTTATACTTTAGGTCACCTTGCTGCTCAAGGGTGGTCTAAAGACCAGCATTAGCTTCATATGTAGCTTGTTAGAAATGTGGATCCTCAGGTCCCACAACAGAATTAGTGAATCAAACTGCATCTAATGAGATCCTCAAGGAATATGTATGCTTACTAAAGTTTGAGGCACACTGGTCTAAAAGAAAATGTGATATAAGTTATGTATGCTGGGGGTGGGCATGGTAGGAGGCATTTACAACTCAGGTTTAATTTATTTTCAATTATCAATTTCTATAAATCTAATTTATTACCAAATGTGGTATTTTAAAAAAATATTTTTATTGTTGAAACCTTGATAAGTACTTCATATTCTTAGCTTCTAATAAAGTCCAATAATGTTGGCATACACTTAGACATTCAGGAACCTGCCAAGATATTTTTGGAGATTTATTCTCTAACTCACATAACCACCTAATTTGCAATTCAATAAATTGTGAATTAAACTATCCCCGTGTGAATATTGAGTTTGTCATTAAAAAACGAACATTTGGGCATAAATACTTATATTGTAATACTGTTTGGGTACTGCTAGAATTATTTAAGGTTAAAAACTGTCTTTCCCATTCCAATGCTGATTACTTTGGAATCTGTTCATTGGAGATGACATAGTAGCTTATCCTATGGTTATTCATTGAATTATATGCCCTATCTTGACTTACATTTATTTAGATGTGCTTAATGTCCATATTTTCACAGACATCTCCAGCATTTGTAGTGTTAGGCAGAAAAGTCTGATTTCTGAAGTTTTTCATGGCAAATTTAATTTCTCAGCCTTCATTTCTTTTTGTAAAACTTATTTCATCTGGAATGTGTTTATTGAATGTCTTCCTTTTTCTCTAGTATAAAAAGACTAAAATGTCTGTTTTTCTAATTGCAGTGTTATACGCTTACAGGATCATAATTCACCTTAAAACATCAATGTTTATAGTACACTTCTACAAGTAGCTGTTTCAGACGAATTGAATTCTTACACTCAATATGTGTCATGTCTGATTTAGTTTGGATTAGAAATGATGTAATCCATTTTTAGTTAACTATAATTGTAACTTTCAAATTTCACACCTATTGAAATGGTTATAACATCCCCTCACTGCATATGATTGAGCACACTCTTGCTTGTCCTTTTGAGCTCTGAATGAGTTGGGCTGGATGTTTTTATAAGATTGAGAACTGTTAACATCCCCTTGTGTCTCAAAAGTTTGCTCTTAACCAAACGATAGCATTTTTGTAATGAAAGTATTCATCAAAAAAAAAAAAAAACTTTAGGGAAAATAAAGCTTCAGTAAGGGCCTAAATAAACCTGGTGAATAATTTCACCTGTAGTAAACCCTCATTTCTCCCTCCAACCTAGCTCTTCTGGGGTACAGATAACATTCTAGCCTTTTCTCTGATATACTATACTCTTGTACTTTTAACCAATTTCTGTCCCATAATTCTAAATCTTTTATTCAGTATCAACTAGCTATTCAGGTGGTGGGAGAAGCACTAAATAACTGACTAGTTATTCCATGGATGTCTCCTTCATCCCTTAAAAGTCTAGCTCAAAAAAAATATTTAAAAAGCATAATCTTTGGGGTTTGAAGAAATAAGATTTAGGCAGTCTGAGTATGTGAACTTAGTTCATCTTTAGAAACTAAACTGAAGCACAGAGAGGTTAAAAGGATTTAAAAAAAAATGAACAGACTTAATAACATATAAATAGCAAGTGATCTAACATGGACAGCTGGAATCCAGGAGAGGGAGAGAGATTAGGGCAGAAAAATATATGTGGAGAAATAAAAGTTGAAAATTTTTCCAATTTGATTTAAAAAATAAGCAATGCACAGATCCAAGAAACTCAAACTGTAAACAAGATAAATATAAGGGAAGTCACACCTATGCACATCATTATCAAACTGCTGGAAAACAAGATGAGAAATTTTAAAAGGAAAAAAGACACAGCAGGGAAAAATGGTAAGAACGAACAAATGACCAGAAGAAATGTACAAATGGATTACAAATGTCTTCATAGTGCTTAAAAAAACTCAAAGTCTAAATGCTGATCTTTACATAAAATTCTATATCCTTTAAATTTAATGAAAGCTAAGAAAATTTGATTTCAGAAGACCTGCACTACACAAAAAACTAAAGGAAATTCTTCACATTGAAGGTACATGATAACCTGATGAAACATACCTTCATGAAGGAAAATGCCAAAAATGATAAAAATTACTTTTCTAGTGCCTAAATTAAAATCCAATTAACTTTAAATTCAATATATATTATTTGTTTCATGGGTACAGGTCTGTGATTCATCAATCTTACATAATACCTAGTGTTCATTATAACACATATCCTCCCCAATGTCTATCACCCAGTTACCCCATCCCTCTACCCCCTTCCCCTCCAGCAACCCTCAGTTTGTTTCCTATGATTAAGAGTCTTTTATGGTTTGTCTTCCTCTCCCGTTTTGTCTTGTTTCGTTTTTTCCTCTCTTCCCCTATGATCCTTTGCCTGGTTGGTTTCTTAAATTCCGCATATCAGTGAGATCATAGAGTTAATTGTCTTTCTCTGATTGACTTATTTCGCTTAGCATAATACCCTCTAGTTCCATCCAAGTCATTGCAAATGGCAAGATTTCATTTTTAATGGCTGCGTAATATTCCATTATATTCAATATATATACATACCACATCTTTATCCATCTGTCGATGGGACATCTGGGCTCTTTCCATAGTTTGGCTATTTTGGACATTGCTGCTATAAACACTGGGGTGCAGGTGCCCCTCTGGATCACTGCATTTGTATCTTTAGGGTGAATACCTGGTACAATTGCTGGGTTGTAGGGTAGCTCTATTTCCAATTAACTTTTGAAAGGAAAATAACTATTTAAAACAATTTAAAGTAAAATTTAAAAAACTAAGATTTAGGACATGCAGAAGTAAAATATATAATTACACTATAAAGGGATAAGTGGAGTACACATATATGACATATATATTATACAGGCATAAATGGTATGTTATTTAAGGTAGGCTGTATTAAGAATGTATATCCTTCCAGCAAGTATTAAGAAAATGTAAATGGTGTAGTTATAAAGCCAACAGAAGCAATAAAATGGAATATTTAAAAATACTTGATTAATGCAGAGGAGAAAAAAAAAATGGGACAAAGAGGAAAAACATGGTAACAGACCCTAACCCAACCACAAATTGTGTAAACAGATTAAGCATCACCAATAAATGCAAATATCATACTGGATAAAAAGCTTCAATATTGTGTTTAAAAAGACTTAGGAAAATATAAAGACAAGCACTGGTTAAAAAAGGATTAAGACAGACAGACATAGGATGCAAACACTAAAGAGAAAGGTGACTTCAAGACAAGTATTACTAGAGATGGATATTTCATAACAAAAGATATAGTAAGTCCAGAAGATGTACCAACCTTAAATGTATATGCACCTAATTACTGAGTTTTAAGATAAATGAAGTTCTGGTCAAGACAGTGACACAGGAGGCTCCTGAATTCATCTCCTCCCATGGATACACCAAATCTAATACACCAAATCTAGAGCTACACATGGAACAATTCCTTCTGAAAGAAATCCAGAAAATAGCTGAGAAACGCTGCCATGGTCAAACAAGGAAACACCCCCCACCCCCCAAAAGGGGTTGGAGAGGTTTAGAGACACTCTTGCCATGAACTCCACTTCTGGCACAGCAGCAAACAATCAGGAAGGAACTTACATATATTCCCAGAAGACTGAAGGGTGTGGATGCAACATGTAATGTCCCCATTTTTAAGACTTCTGAGGGATGAGGCCCTGAAACACCTAGGTTTGAAAGTCAACAAGCCTGGTGCCCACAGGACCCACGAGACTACAGCAAACAGAGAATGGTTAACTAGCTTGGATTTACTGTGGAAAACCCACCAGAGACAGCAGAGAAAAATGCCCATTTTCCTCCCAGTCTTTCCTGAGGCTTCTTTGCATATCTTAACAAGCTACAGCCTGAAAGTCTGGTTGCTGATTTAGGAACAGACTGCTATTTTCTCTGAGCCCAGCAGGTATCATCTCTGCACTCTCTTTTGCTCTAAGTCACTCGTGTCTTCCTCCAAGGGGCTGGCACACATACCAGGTGCAGGAGCTCTTGTAGCTGCCACCCAGACAACACAGTCCTTGATAGTCTGGCAGTGGTGGCCAGCAGGGCTTTTGTTTGTGGGTTGAACAAGACTATGGCTAACAAAGAAACAGGTTTAAACCAGCTATATGCCCAGGGTTCAAGAAAGAATGAGTAGGCAAAAATGCCCTTATCTCAGTCTTTCCATGACAGAGGCCTAGCTGCCTATCTTTTTTTTGGTAAAGATTTCATTTATTTATTTGACAGAGACACAGTGAGAGAGGGAACACTATCTGCGTACCTTAAAAGCTGTAGCTGTAGCGTAAAGGTCAGACTTCTAATCTATCTCACACCTAGGGAGAGACTGCCATCCTATTCAGAGACCAGGGAAGCCAACAGACACCATGGCTGCATTCTCCCTGTATGTAGCCCAATCCAAATCACCAACATCACTGGAAGGAGCTTGTGTTCATAGGTCACACAGGACTGTAGCTAAACAGAAACAATTCTTAACTAGCTACTCCCCCAGGGTTCAGTGGAGAAGTAGACAAACACCCAGCTCACAGTTCCATGAAAGATGGCTCAATACTTTAAAAGCTTCTGCCTGAGGGTCCAGCTTCCCGTCAGTCTGTATCTAGATGCTAAGATCCTCCCCTTTAAAACACTTAGAGAACTTGGCACACCTTCAACTATGTTATCTATGTTACCTCATACACAGAAATCAACACAGGTAGTCAAGGAAAATGAAGAAATACAGAAACATGTTCCACATTGAATAACAAGATAAAAATCTAGAAGTAGACCTTGAAGATTAGTGATTTATCTGATAAAGAGTTAAGAATTATGGTCATAGAGATGCTCACCAAGGTCAGAATAACATATGCACAAAGTGAGTATTTCAACAAAGAGAAAAGAACCAAACATATCACAAGGCTGAAGAATACAAAACTGAACTGAAAAATTCAACAGAGGATTCAAAACAGACTTGATAGGGGAAACAGGAAGAAAGAGTGAACTTGAAGAGCACGGAATCAGCATAATCAGAGAAGAAAAAAGAAAAAAAAGAATGAAAAAGAGTGCAGACAACTTATGAGACTCATGGGACCAATATTTAAGCCTCATGGTAAATACAAAGCATCTACATTAGATATGCAAAAGATAAAAAGAAAGGAATCTAAATAAACCACTACAGAAAACTGTCAAATCACAAAGAGAAGGACTAAAAGAATTAAAAAACAATTTACAGAAATTAGCCAGAAAACAATTAGCCAAATGACATTAAGTTCACATATATCCATAATTACTTTAAATGTAAATGGTCTAAATCTTCCAATGAAAAGACATACAGTGGCTCAATA